TTAATGCTGAGAAATAAGATTGAAGAGTTTCTCTTTCAGATCCAGGGAAATGGACCACAACAGCTATTAAGAAATGAGTTTTTCCACCAGGACTGTTGTAGCATAGGAGCCCATGTGGGCACTTTCTTCCAAACTAAACATCTCTTTCTCCAGAATAATAAAATAATAATGTGCTTTCCAAGTAAAGTGTTAAAGAATAGAATCGCTTTGTTCATGCAGTGAGGCAGTCTGCTCCATCTTCCTTTGTAGACAAATCCTAATCCTACAGAATATGGCTGTGCAACAGGCAGCCCATGGCCTGCACACAGACCATGAGGGGTTAAATTGTGGCCTCTAGGCCACCCAGCCACCACTCACTTCATCATCCCGGGAGTGGAGGGGAGGTTGCACCCAGCTTCCATGTTCTGTGCCTGCTGCAGAGGGTGGTGCAATGTAGCATAGAGAGCTCAGGGTGAGTCTGTGGCATGCAGCATAGCAGTGGAAAGGAGCATCCATGTGGAGTCATTCCAGTAAAGTGGGATGTGCATGCATAGGCACATGCAACAGCAGTGTGAGGGGTGCACAGTGCAGCAGGTAGTGGTGCACACTTGGGGCCCATGACCCCCTCTGGTACAACCCACAAGGCACATGACCCCTGATAGTGTGACCTAAGGGGTGTGTGGCCTCAGCCACTTTCATGTTGGATGTAGAATCCTGAATTGGCAAATGTGGCAGTATTTGAATTATGAAATATTGTTTCGTTCTGCTTACGGGATTTTTTTTTTCATATTTCTAAATCCAATCTCTTCCTCTTGGGTTGCTGTTTTTTTCTACTCTTAGTTTATCCTATGGTAGTTGAGTAAAATTATGTGCATCTTCTAAGATCAATGTATACATCATCCTTAGCAGAGCTTCTCTCCTGCCAGTTGTCTAGGCCCCTTATGAAGCTCAAGTCCTAAAATCCTGTCAGCTGTGACTGAGTAAAACATTCTGTTCCTGTCAAAATCATTTAAAATGAAGTTTTAAGGCTGGCTTCCCAGATACTTCCTGCCAAATTAAACAAAAGAGCAAAGAAGAGAGAGCATTGACAGACGTAATCATACACCTGTCACCTTTCTTTTCTGACCAGCTTCTGATGTGAAAAGTTTTATCTCTAGCCATTAGCCAAGCAGACTAAGTACCACAGTAGTTTATTGCTACATCACTTAAACGCAGTTGTCAAATCAGTCATGTGCAATGGGGAGCTTAGATTTCCTGATTTTCAACTTCTCAGTGACAGAGCTCTATCCAAAACGCTGTCACAAGTGTGTATATATACAAAAGTTGACTGGAATCCACCCATGAAAAGACGACAATGCAGATGCACACAAGAAATATGGAGGCAGTCTGATCAGAAGGGAGCTGCGGAAAAACAAGGAACCCACGTTTTTTTCAGGACCTACCAAAAGCACAGCAGCGTCCCACGGTGAGCAGCACCATTTCTGCTTTCTCTTGTTTTTGCCTTTATGCCACTCAGCACGGGGGGAGGATCTGTGCGTGTTGCTCATTGGCCAAGAGGCAAAAACTGCAGCAAAACTAAGAGCAGAAGTGGCGCCATTCTCTGTGGGACATGGCCATGCTCTTAGTAGGTCGCAGAAAAACAGATTCTTGTGTTTTTTTAAATGGAGATTTTCCGCTTTTTTTTTTGCCCGACAGAAAACTAGGATCCCTGCTGATCAGGCAAAGTAGAGATATAACCTGGACAGTCTATTCATCCTTGCCTCAAGGTGTTTTCTCTTTAGTAAGAAATATATTTTCTGCACACCAACAATCAATGATATTCTGGAGATTACAGGTGTATGGATAAATCCCCCTTATCATTTATTTGCCATTCTTATCCAACGTACAAGCCAATGTAATGCAAGTTGAAACTGCATTATGGGATAGAGCCCTAGACTTCACAGATAATGCCCCAAATTTCCTAGTGTAGAAATTGGGATGCCATAGATAGTTTCATAGTTTCTAGGGTTGGAAGGGACCTGAGCATTTCATCTAGTCTGACCCCCTGCCATGGCAGGAAGAGCACTGGGGTCAAACGACCCCAGTAAGGTGGTCATCCAACCTCCTCTTAACCCCCAGGGTGGGAGCCTGCACCACCTCACTTGGAAGCTGGTTCCAGACTCTAGCCGCCCTGACCGTGAAGTAGCGCCTCCTGATGTCCAACTTAAACCTTCCCTCCGCCAGCTTGTGACCATTGTTCCTGGTCACTCCTTGCGGCACTCAGGGGAACAGGGACTCCCCCAGCGCCTGCTGATCCCCCCCTAACCAGTTTATAACAGGCCACAAGATCCCCCCTCAGCCTTCTCTTTTGAAGGCTGAACAGGTTCAGGTCCCGCAACCTTTCCTCATAGATTTCTCAATTAAGTTGGAAGTCAGCGTTTGTAGTCACCATGCATCTGTTGACATTTCTTTTTCCTTCAGTCATGAGAGTACTGAATTGTTATGATTATAAGTTGAGCTTTATTCCCCTAAAAAGAACCATAAAAAATCGCACTTAGCGTAATATTCAGTATCAGCCTATAATCAGGCCCCCAACAACTGAGCTGTAAGACTAATGTGTGTGTAGAATATTACCACCTTCAGGGAAGACACTGTTTTTCTTAAAATTGAACTTCCTACTGTTCCAGTCCCTACCTGAAAATTTGTGTTCAATGTATAATTGGAACGTTACAGTAATGACTTGAAAAGCAGTAGCTGGATCAAGAATAAAATTAAATTGGAAGAAACAGGTGATCCTAATTAGGAAATCAGAAAATGATGCTATAAAAAAAATCTTGCTGAGCTGATGAAAAATATGCAGATCTGGCACAATGTACTCGGTACTGTTGCAAGTAGTGATGCATCATCTGTGTTCATCTCTTTCTGTGAAGACACATTCAGTGTTCTAAGGGCACCACCTTCCTAACCGCAAGCCGTTCTTTGGAACAGCAGAGGAAGAGAATCATGTCCTAGAAAACCCAGAACAGATGTTATACCAAACCCAGTGTATTATGGAACGGGATTTTAGAAATTTAGTCAGTGCTACGTGGATACCCGTGTGATGCTGAAATAAGCATTAATGTTAAGAGTTATGTTTCTCAGTAATGAATCTCTTTGCACTGTGTCTAGTTATTCCCAACATTCTCATATGCAGATACAGTTTTAAAATTATATTTATTTGGAGCTTCTCCATGCCCTACAAACCAGATTTAGTTTAATTCTAAGTTAAATTCTAACAGTATTGTGGACAAAACATGCACAGTGTATTTTTGCTGGAGATGAGTTCAGGAAGATGTAATTAATTCCAGATTAAGTTTGTGCTGGGGCTAATGTTTGGCATTGAAATCTGGCAAATTAGTACAGTAAAACTTTGGCCTTAAAACCTGGTGCAATCAGTTTAGACTGCAATTTCTCTACTGTGCAGGCTGCATCTAACCATATCAGATGTACAGGCCCATTTCTGGTTTGTGTCATCAAGCCAGTTTTGTTTCTTTTTTCAGACTGTCATTTCCCTGCTGCACTCACCCAATTGGATTGCTGCATTCAAGTGGGCAGCATGGCCTGGGATTGCTTGATTAAATAATATAATACCAGAGTGATCTAGGGCATTCACTATTCTGTCTGACAGGAATTTGGAACTTGGCAGTAACAACAGGAATAAAACTTGAGTTTTACTGCTCCAAAAATCACAGGCCTCGGCTCTTTGAGCTACAGTAAAACCTCCTTCACTTTTTAGCAGTATAAGGTTTAGGACACACAGTTGAACAGTTCTGATTTTATCCAGTACATGCAATTAATTTTTTTATATAACAGTGACATGCAATTTTTTTTTTTATATATAACAGTGGGATAACTCTTACTTTTGTGGAGATTAGGCCTGTGTTTATGAGGGGGGTCAGTAGTAATACTCTGATTTAATACATTTTTGAAGTAGTTATGGCCTTCTGCTGATGGGGCAGGAAGAATTACTATTCCTTCTAATGTAATTATGTCTACATGTTTATCAAGTGCTTGTTCAGGATGGTATACAAGTGTTACTCTTGTTGTAGCTGTAGAGATCACTATTGTGGTAAGTGACTCCTGTGAGGAATTACTAGGCAGCATGATAGCAAACGATGAGCCAAAGTAAAACAGAAGAACTTTTCAGCCCATGTGTCAACAGTTCACGGGACAGAATGAAAGCAGGTTTGGTATCTATTTAAGTTGCATTACATGAGACATGTTGAGGAAAGAAAGCTTGCATGTGGCCAAAGCATTTTCATGATTTAAAACGATCTCAGGACAGACCTGCTTACTCCTGTTATGGTCATGCTAGTGGTCTGCAATAATGGACACGTTGGATCTTCGTTCTAAAGTGGCAAAATGCTGAACTGTTCCTCATCCCAAAGTATAATGCTTAGTCCTGGAATCAGCTGCCTATGTTACTCTCACGTATTCAGGGAGTTTTACTATTTTTAAAGCTGGGCAAGTCTCCAATTTAAAAACCAGGGAGTGAAATGAAAATCATGGACTACTAACTCAAGCTAAAGCCAAGCCTACTCCAAGCTCCCCACCAAAGCTATATGAAGGATAGCATACCTCCTGCTGTTCTAGTCATGAGCATCTGCCCATAGTCCAGCCATTCCATGTCAGCCTCAGTGAACAGAGCTTCATATTGTGCCAATGCCTGCTTGCATCTTGAGCAGAAGCAGACAGCCATGTTGAATTGTACACAGTCCCAGGAGGATCTTAGGATGAGAAGAAATAGGTTTAGGCTGACTGGCACATTTGTTTATGCAACAAGCCAGGACATAATCCCCTGATCTCTAGAGACAAAGGGGATGAATGGTGTTAACCTGCTCTTACCATGCCCTTCCCCCTCTGCTAATAGATTAGTCATCAATCATGCCATCTGTAGCCCAAAGAGCATTAAAGGCCATTCATTTTGTCACTTCTCTCACCAGTCTGTCACGGTAAGAGTCTCTCACAGTGCACTAATCTTTCTTTTTGTTTCACACACCTAGCTTCTCCATCGAAAGCACCCAGCTGGACAACTCCCTCCTCAGATTCTTCTGAGAGACGACCTCTTGCTTCTGAGAGCAGCTGGACAACCAACTCGGAGGATACCAGCAGCCCAAGCATTGCACCATCCTATACAGATCTGCAGTCAATAAATACAGAGGAGGTGACCAGCGGTAGGACTTCTGCAGCAGACTCAGCTGGTAAGATCGAAAGCACTTCAAACTTGTTTCTCTTTCTTGTTGGTTCCAGCCAAATCCACCAGCACTGAATCTTTGCAGAACTGAGTTTGGGTCCAGATTAATCAAACTCCACTGCTGTTTCGATCTAGAATTTTGGTTTGGCCCACTATTGAGGGTATGTCTATGCTGCAGAGTGTACCTGAGGCCAGGTTTCTGGATATGCTAAGCCCACATGATAGCATCCACTTGCCAGAGCTACACACACCCAGGTGACCAAACTCCAGTGTAGACACACAAGGGGGGTTAGGTAGGATGGAATTCAAGAGATTTCCCACAAACTTCCAAGCTTTTATTTTAAGCTTATTTCTTGCATCTGAATAGTGGCTATGCTTATGTTTGATGTGGTCTGAGGTGCAGACCCCTGAGACCTGTGGAGAGTTGAGCAATGCCAAGCTAGAGGTGATTTGTACCTCAAAGGAATGTTGTCAGTCCTCAAGGGAGTGCAGAAGGAGACAATCCCATTGCGCACAAAAGGGGGCAAAGGGGCCAAGAAGCCCTTGTGTCTGAACAGGAAAGTCCAGGAAAACCTAAGGGCAAAGAAAGAGGGATACAGGCTGTGGAGACAAGGGCTCCCTGGCTTGCACTTGCAGGAAATCAGTTAGGAAGGCCAAAGCAGGATTAGAATTTAGGCTGGTGACAAAAATTAAGGACAACAAAAAGTCCTTCAGGTATATAGGGAGCCAAGGGAAGGCACAGGATAGCATAGGACCCCTACAGGACAAACTAGGGCAATTGGTGATAGAGGTGGGAACAAAGCTGAGCTCTTCAGTGAGTTCTGTGCGTCCGTATTCCTAGATACATACCAAGACAAATCTCCCATATGAACCGTTGATAGACAGAGGAGGGACACCAGCCCGCCAACTGTTAGCCCAAGCTTAGTGAAGGGCAACTTAGAGGGGCTGGATGTGTTCAAGTCAGCAGGCCCAGATGAACTTCATCCAAGGGTGCTGAAGGAATTGGCCAGTGTTATAGCAGAGCCGCTGGTCCGGGTGTTCAAGCACTCATAGTGCTCCGGTCAGGTCCCAGAGGACTGGAAAAGGGCCAATGTGGTCCCTATCTTCAAGAAGGGGAGGAGGGAGGAATCTATAGGCCAGTTAGTTTCACGTCTATCCTTGGGAAAACTCTGGAAAAAATCATTAAGGATCACATCTGTGGGAGCCCAGCAGAGGAAATAGTGCTGAAAGGAAATCAGCACAGGTTCATTGCAGGTAGATCCTGCCTGATTAACCTTGTTTCTTTTTATGGTCAGGTCACAAAATGCTTATATGCAGGAGTCGAAGTAGATGTCATCTACCTAGACTTTAAGAAGGCCTTTGATACGGTATCTCATTCTGTTCTCGTAAATAAACTGACAGGCTGTGATGTAGATGATTACACAGTCAGGTGGGTGGCAAATTGGCTTAGGGGTCGGACCCAGAGTAGTGGTGGACAGGTCGATATCGACCTGGAAAGAGGTGGGCAGTGGAGTCCTGCAAGGCTCGGTCCTTGGACCGGTGCTGTTCAATGTCTTCAGTGACTTGGATGAGAGTGTAGAGAGCACCCTGTCCAAGTTTGCAGATGATATCAAATTATGGAGCAAAGTTAACACACCAGAGGGTAGGGAATGGATCCAGGTGGATCTGGACAGGTTGGGAAAATGGGCAGAATCAAATAGGATGCAGTTCAACAACGACGAGTGCAAAGTGCTGCACCTGGGCAAAAAGACCCACCAATACACTTACAGGCTGGGGGGTGACCTCAGCAGCAGAAAGGGATCTTGGAGTCATGGTTGACTCAAGTTGTACATGAGTCGTCAGTGTGACGAAGTGATCAACAAAGCTAATCACACTTTATCATGCGCTAGCAGATGCATGACGAACAGATCCAGGGAAGTGATGCTTCCCTTCTGTGGTACCAGTCAGGCTGCAGTTTAAGTACTGCAGTTTTGGACACCGTACTTTAAGAAGGATGTGGAGAACCTCGAGAGGGTCCAGAGGAGGACCACTCATATGGTCAGAGGCCTGCAAGCAAGGCCGTACGAGGAGAGACTGAGGGACCTAGATCTCTTTGGCCTTCACAAGAGAAGGCTGAGAGGTGATCTTGTGGCTGCCTATAAATTCATCAAGGGAGGGCAGCAGGGAATAGGAGATGCTCTATTTACTAGGGCATCCCCTGGAGTAACTAGGAACAATGGCCACAAATTGATGGACAGCAGATTTAAGTTGGACATTAGGAAGAACTTCTTGGTAAAGGTT